TAATTCACACAAACCACTAATGAGATATTTCTTAAAACTCTTTTTAAAATAAAGAAAATGTTATGTCTTTGAGTGCTAGCTCTCTATTTTTATTTTCTAGTGTTTCTCCATACACATATTTTGTAACTTATATAGTTTTTCTCTTTACGCAAAACAATAAAATAAATATAACTATAGCATTCTATATATAAGGAAATCCTAATAACATTAAAAATGAAAAAAAATATTGATTTTTCCCTTGAATAATATTATATATATTATTTTAGGGTAATTTTATAAATATATTCAATCAAGTTCCTACTTGAATTTTCTAGGTCTATAATTATAGTCCTTGTATTAATTACATTTGGATTTTAATTTCTAAAAATTATGCTTAATCAAGTTATACTTGATTAATCATCTCAATTTAATTTCTAATAAATGGTTCTTATTATGTATGACCTATTAGGTTTCTAATATAATCTAAATATAAATTATAATCCTAATCAAAATAAGATTAAATAATTTAATTTATTATCAATTTAATAATTTAATAATTTATATTTTCATATTTTGTACATTGTTGAGCAACATGTCATAATCTCTAAAATATTATAAAAATCATACATGATTTGACTTAACCTTTAAATAAGAAGTTTATCGGTATAATTATTATCTCTTTATAAAACATATTTCAATTTTGACATTATAATATAGAGTGTGTTTGTTTTGTGAAACCATATTTGTTCTTTACTCTCATAGTCATTAATTATTTGAATAAGATTTAAAATTCTTTTCAAATTTCATCCTAATTTACATAAGGATTTCACAATCAATACCATTTGAGAACATGTAGAACAATTTTTTTTTAATTCAAGATGAATTCTTTCTTTGTCACTCAAATACCTTTATATAGTTCATGTTATATCTAATGTTTGCTTATTTGTTATCCTTAATTAGGACAACGTCTTGTCATGATTAAAGTATGACATTCATTATACAAGATAATTTAGTGATATCAAGTTTAAGGATTACTTATGCAGTTGTCATTGTCACGTAAGCATTTCTATAGATACGAGTAATTTCTCCATATGAAATTATCATGTGGCTTAGTTCAATGTACATGTTATATGACAAGAACCTATACATAAATTATAGGTATCCCTCATACCTTAGCTTGTGAGAATAATTATTTTTTTTATAAAAAATATATAATGTGTATCAGGCTTAATAACTCAAATTAATATCTAGTCTTAATAAAGTATTGATTATGAATATTTATGAACAATACTTTAATGAAATAAGAATCTTATAATTATAATCACTTTTATAATTTTCCTTGCAAAATATTTTTTTTTAAGAATTTTATCTTTTTTCTAGATTCATTAATCATACATTAGCTTCATTAATGAAAGATATGTGAACATTAAAGATAAAGAAAAGTGTTTATTAATTATAAATATATTTTGCATGAACAAAGTTAGTGTTACGTACAACAATCAATTTGATACAAGACATATATACATTAACACATTGCATCCAAAATTGAATGTTAATTGTTTTTAAAGCTGAAGTTTAGTTTTATTTTTTTATTCCATATAGTTTTAACACATTTTTAGCCATATAACTAATAAGTGCAAAATATACATATGTTTTTTATTCCTTTTACATTATGCTTATTAATGTATTTTGAGCTTATTGGAAGTTATTTTTATGAGTTTGACATATCTAAAAGACTCTATGTTATTTCTATGAGTTTGACATACCTAAGAGGCTGGGAATTACTAAAAAATAAGAATTTATGCATTTTATATTTCGGACCTTACTTCTTATGATAGGTTTTTTAGCGATTTATAATTTTAGAATGTGAATATAAGCCTAATAAAAGTTAAAGTACACATATCAAGCTCTTTAGAAAGGTTTTATGGGCAGAAATCCGAGTCAGGTTAAACCTCTAATCAAACCTATGAAATTAGGTTGAAATACTACTTGCAACAGAATTCTCTATTTTCATACTACATATTCATATGGTCTATTTTGAGCATCAGATATAGAAATCATGTGATTCAAAAGCCCAAAATTATACACACATCTAAGAATACAACTTTTATGAAAGGTTATGGGTCAAATAAAAATTATTTTGAAGGAAAAAATCCTAACGCAAGCTGAAGGACAAAATTGATCTTTTGATCTGATGAGGAATTAATGATGTCTAGCATCCCACTATGGCTAAGAGTCTAACATAGAAATGATATGTCTTAAGATCCAAGAAAGGTGCAAATCAAGCCTCTAATACTCCATTAATGAAAGAATACAACTAGAATGATCGAATATTGCAAGAAATCAAGTTAAAAACAATGTCTAAATTATAACAGAGTTGTGATGGTAGTAAAACCAGTTTTTAACATAAATTCTAATGGATTGGTGCAAATCAAGCCTCTAATACTCCATTAATGAAAGAATACAACTAGAATGATCGAATATTGCAAAAAACCAAGTTAAAAACAATGTCTTATAACAGAGTTGTGATGGTAGTAAAGCCAGTTTTTAACATAAATTCTAATGGATTTAACCAATCTTAATGACTAGATAAAAAAATAATTAAGTAACATTAAGAACTTCTAATAAGGAGAAGAATCCTAAAGAAAAAAACAATTGAGGGAGGGAATAAAGGAAGTAAATCATGAAAAAAACAACTCTTTTTTGCTCTTTTACAATGTTCTTTTCTCGTTGTTTTTGTTAATTTTCCAGCAATTATGAACTAAACTTTAGCTTTCGGTTCAAGAAGAATAGATATCATCTCCATTATTAAGTTGTGAGAAGTAACGTTATCACTGTAATTCTTTCATATTCAAGTACTTATTTATCTTTATTTCAGAATTATGCTATTGATTTATGTTCATGCTTATTAAATTGTTTTGAGATAGTATATATGTGCTTTGCAGTTTCTTTCAATATGTAATTATTGTTAAGGACTAGAATAAGAAGCAAAGGACATGATTGCTATAACTATCATTTTAATTTATTAGGAAGAAATAAACTAAGTTAAATTGCTCAAGCTTTTGAACGGTGCTTAGAATAAATTTTACAAACTTTACTCCTAAGGCTATTACTGAGTGAATTAAAATTGCTTTTTAATATTAAATTTGTTTGATGGTAAGAAATTGATAAGAAAGTCTTATCTAATTAATTTACTTATAATCTCTTCGATTCCTCTTAGCTTTAAGGGGCATCGAATTTATTTTCTTGAATTGAAAAGATATGTATTTTACTTTGATGATCAACAATTTTATATAAACTTTACTCCTAAAGCTATTTTACTTTGATGATCAACAATTTTATAGGAATATATATTTATATCTTTTAACTGAGTTAATGACATATAATTTATTATTTTTATTTTTAGAATTTTAGTTCTTTAATTTGTGATTCATATACCCTGTTTTTTTTTTTATTTTAATATATTGTAAGAAGATTAAACAAAAATTTTCATGAGTTCGATCTTATTTTCATAATCATACTATGAATTTATTTTGTTTGTAATAGTAAAGTCAAAATTATATTTTGAAGATTTCAATGACAAACCAATAACAATAGTAATTTTTTAAATTATATTATATAATCATAATTAACAAAAACAAAATCTTATGATACACATTTACTTATTTGTGTAATAAATAAATTATAAAAAAAACCAGTGTGTTTAAAAGAAAAATATTGATTTTAGAAGTAAATTAGTAATATTAAGAAGGAAGGGCAAAGTTTATCTAATTAAAACTCTGTTTACTCATATGATTTTTAACCTATTTTTTTATTTAAAAAAACATTAAATTGATGATTTTAAATATATGTGTTTTAATATTTTGAAGAACTGATGTTAAAAATAAAAATAAAAATATTTTCAAAAATATTATTTTAATTTATTTTCAATTAAAAAATACTTTTATAAAAATACTATCCACCAACATTACTAAACACGTACAAATACTTAGAAAAAGAATCCTATGAAATTATAAAGTGATCCCAAAATTTACAAAATGGAAAGGGAAACAGAGGCGAAATTGCAGCCACCATTCACGTGGAAGAATCGTGGAAGGAAGAATCGTCTATCTAGAAGGAAGGAGAAAGATAAGACTTTGAGAGCACGAGAAACCTGGGAAAGGAAGTTATAGTTTCCTTGGACAGGAAGACCCAACGCCCAAAGACGCTCGTGATAGCGACACTCAACAGCATGTGCCCATGACTTATGGCGTTAGCCACTAGCACCTCCCTCCATTATTCAATTCAAAATTGGGCTCCTCAAGCTAGAGCTCATTCTTCTCGAAGAGCCACTATCTGCACCCGTTGGATGCATCTTTGCTTTTAATTGTTGACTCTTTACTTGGTTGGAAACCTCCTAGGCCTTCCACGATCTCATGAGGCCAGGAATCCGTTGGCTTCTCCCAAGTAGCTCCTGACACGTGGACTGTTGCGCACTTAACATCGGCTGTAGTCATTAGCTTTTTCGGACACCGCACTCACCTCGATCTTTCTTCTGTCGAAAACAGTTTACTTCCTTCCTTCTTCTCCACATGCTTGATTATGATGTAAGAAAAGTCATCCCTCCTTTGCTGACTCTCTCGACCGTCGGTTCTTTGATGATTCCTTGAATAGTCACAAGAATCTGTTCAATTGTATAGAGAAAATAATAATAATAATAATAAACAGGTAAGATATTTTACCGCTTTGAAATAATCGGCGATGTTTACTAGTTAGTTTTTAAAAATTGATATTTTCTTTTTCTTATTAAAACAATAAAAGAGAATCTTAAGCGCACAAAAAGATAAGCAGCGGCTGTAAGTAACAGTCACCCCGTGGCAAGAAAAGAGAGGTTCGCTGCGTATATCTAGAAGCGTAATTTGACGGGGTCCGGCCGTTTCATCCTAGTGGGGACGGGATTTACTCTTCAATCCTCACGCATCTCGCTTTCCCCCTCTTCTATATAAACCCCTTGACGCTCCCTTTTGTAACCACTCACATGTTCTGGGAAGCTTAAACAGAGAGAGAGAGAGAGAGAGAGAGAGAGAGCTGATAGAGAGAGAGATAGTCTTTGGGTCCTTCAACTGCTGCAGAAGGTTTCTCGAAGAAAAAACAAACAAGTTTCTACGGCAGTTGAAATATATAAAAGATCCATCATCTCTTGTTTTCATAACTTATTTCACAAAGTTTGAATCAAATCACATACTGTATTTGTAGAATGGCTCGTTCTTTCTCAAACGCCAAGGTTATCTCTGGCCTGATCAACGAGGCAATCAACGGCAGAGGATTCTCAGCTGTTGCATCCCAAGGAGCTGCTGTGTCCAAGGCAAGAAGCGGTGCTGCTGTAATGAAGAAAACAGGGGAGGAGGTTACCAAGACCACCGAGAAGATTTCCTGGGTTCCAGATCCTCGTACTGGATTCTACAGACCAGAGAATGTTGCTCAGGAAATCGATGCGGCTGAATTACGTGCTGCCTTCTTGAAGAAGCATTGATGAAATTACTAATTCATGCTATCAATAAAATCTGATTACTACTACAACATGTTCTATGATAAAAGAAAGGGGGGATCGATGGATATACGTGGGTTGTGGGGTGGTTCGGATGCTTTGGCCTCGTGGGCTCTCGGCTTGTGTTGTGACATGTTAAGCGGATCTTGGCTTGATTTGATTATTGTTATGGCACGCATCTCTAGCCCTCTCTGTTTAAGGAAAGAAAAAGATTTCACAGATTTCTTATGTAATTTCTTCTGAGAAGTTTAACGATGGTTAATTACAATATAGTATTCCACATGATCCCAGATTATTGATCTTTTTTCTTCTTTGTATATGAGAACTATTAATTGTTCATAACAGGGACTAACAGGTTGAGTAAAAAAATCTGAAAAATCAATTAAATAGAAAAAAATTAAAATAAAATTAATTAAAAAAACTAAATCTGAAAAAAAAACTTAGCTAATTATAAAATTAATTAATACACACACTAATCGAAATTGCGTAATTTCCTTTTTGGTCGTCTCTGCCTTCCTAAAAGTTTTACACAACTTTCGGTTGCTGAGAGTGGCATTGTCTATTCATTGTATGCCAATAAATGGTTTAATAATTGACGACATTAGTGAATTTTTATTTTATTTGTTAATCTTTTATTTGACTTTTTTTAAGCATAATTTTAAAAAACTTAGTAAAGTAACACAATGAAAAAAATATTTAAAGATACAATATAATTTGAGTTGCAAATTCGACCTACGATTTTATTTAAAATTAATACCTAGAGAACCTCTTTCTTCCTCTTTCTCTCCCCATAGCAACCCTCACCTCCCCTTTTCCTATTGTTAGTGACCTTCTTTCTCTCTCCCTCTCCCCCCACAACGAAACCCTTCAAAAAAACCATCGATATAACCCATTTCTCTCTCTCTAGCCTTAGATCGCCACCCCTCTCTCTTTCACTCCCCATCTCAACTCATCCAATTTTTGACCAAAAACTGTCACCAATCACCATCACTATTTATATTCTATATTTAGAGGTATATTGAACATTTTTCCTCTATTAATTTGATGTCATTTATGCTAATTTGTGTTAATTTGATTTCATACCATGTTAGGGTTGGTTAATTAGATATAATTTAAGTTGATAACTAGGTTATTTTATAAAATAATCAATGATTTTAGAATATTACTAATTATAAATTAACAAAATTATTTTGGATGAGTTAATGTTGATTTAGGTTAAATTATAAATTATACCGAATTACATATAAAATAATAATATTAGCTATCACATACATGAATTTGATTGATAATTTTGTTATGATAGCAAAATTTGATGAATGTAGGTGTTCACTAATTAATTTGATGAATTTAGGTTACAGCCAATTATATTAGCGTTATGATTTTATTAATAAATTATGCACTTAGATTAACCAAGATATTAATAAATTAGAATTATATTTTGTTTACACTTAGATGAACCAAGATATTAATAAATTAGAATTGTATTTTGTTGTATTGTTTCATAGAATGCCTAGTATGTTTTTAATATTATGCTTTCATGCTGGCATTAGTATTAATAACGACAATGATATCACTTATAATAAAGGAAGCCATGAATTCCCAACTGCTACATTAGACACATCACTTAACGAGTTAAATAAAACGTTATGTGATTAACTTCAGTGGAATATATTCAAAATTGAAGTTGAAATTACTTGGAGGATATTATAAACCAGGGTTAGTCAAGTTTGTTATGTGAAAGTATCAATCTGTAGTGATGGAAATGTAAATTCAATGTTTGGGTTTGCGAGGTTTAATGAGATTGATATGTTGGAACTCTATTTGAATAGCAGACCTAGACAAAAAAAAAAAATTCTTCTAGTATGAAGATTACTTAGGTTCCTAGCAACTCTCAGAGAACTACACAAGCATCACGAGCAGCTAGTTCATCTAGGTTGGGTGGTAATGCAAGTAAAAAAATATTGGTGCGATAAATTATTAATATGGAACCTCAGTTAGGTATGATATCTACTCCATATTGCTATGAAGAATCCAAACTAAATGACGGTAAAGATGATCAAGATGCTTGTGTGATCGCCATTATAGTGGTTTACAAGGAATGATTGAGACACAATGTGACTGTCAATACCAAGTAAACACCTAGCTTATAGTTGGATGTTTTAATAAGTTGAACCCCAACTAAAAGTCATGAGGTAAATCGCTACTACTCATTTAACTAAGAATTTGCTTTATTTGCAAAAAATAAAATGCATAAAGGCATTAATCTATATTCAACGTACTTATGCATGAGCAATATGTAAAAGTCATGGTAAAGTAGTAAAAGAAAATATATCTTAAGATTAAAAAGATATAAATAAATAGGCAAATAATCAAACAAACAAAGCTCAATTTGGCCAGACAAGTCCCCAACGGAGTCACCATCCTGTCATGGTATGTACGATGTTGAATGATGGTGGTGCCTCCTAGAAGTTAAAGAGGGTTTTGGATTTAATCATAAAGTTATGATTTTGAAGTTCGGGAGTCGCAACTTAGAATTATAATTAATGAAAAATCTAATGGTTTGTGAGAGTTTGAGTAAGGAAACTAGTTGTGCAATGGGAGGATGCATCATACCTTACCTAAGCTAAACTACATTGCATATTGATTATTTTCTAAGTTATGTTTCTATTTGTTGGTTTCATTTAAGGTCTAATGTAGATCTCCATTTGTGAGGAAATTTTTACCTTATTAGATTAAGTCCTAACAATTCTAATATTCATATTTAACATCGCATTTATTTCTTAGATATAATTAATTCGTAACATTTTGAATAACAAACTAATTGTTGTGAGATTTTTGATATTTTAGTCAAACTCTAGTAGATACTCCTAAACTGATTACAATATCTATTTAGCTTTTTTAAAACATGATAAAAATGTAATTTTATCTTTAAAAAAAAAACATGCATGACAAACCTTTAGGATTTGGCCGTATGGATGAAAAAAAAAATATATTTTTTATTTTTTTAAATAAATATTTTTTATATTTTTTTGAAAAGAAAATCAAATATTTTGATACTAGGTTTGTATTTTATTAGGTAAATCTATGACCCGATATTAGACAATTATTTTATAAAAAACATGTGATGGGCCCACCTATAATTTTAAAAATGCTCTTTTGAAAAATTTAGAAGTTTTTTTTAATTTTTTTATTTTTAAAAAATGGGTTGCTCAGGCCCAAAGCCTAAGCTTGGCCTGGTCAGATTAAGTTAGGCTGACTATTGGCCTAAGAATCCTTTTTTTTTTTTTTTATTGGGCACAATGAAGCCCAACCATCTGAGCAGGGCTAAAACAGGTCCAACTTAGGTAACATAGTCATTGACCCAACCTAGTGACTTTGTTAATTAATTGTATTACATGCAGAACGTGAATTTATGTTCTACATGTAGTGGCCATGAAAGGTTTACAGCAGGGGGAAGAGATGAAGGTGGTGTGGCTGTCAGTGGAGGAGGTCTAGCTTGTAGTTCACGACAAGGCTAGAGATGTTGATAGAGATTATCGCGTAGAAGAAAACGAAAAAAACTTTACAGTGGTGTGGCTACTCACAAGGGGAGGTGGAGAGGATGAGTTGGTGAAGGAGATACACGACTGTTGGTGGAGGAGATTGGTATTGGTGAGGTTGTAATGGCTAAGGATGCGATGGAGGGAGATGAGAGCAGTAATGGCAGGAAAAAAAACTAGGAAGAGGTTGATTTTTTGCCCATTTTGCACTTAAAGTTCTTGCTTCTCAATGCCTAAAATCCACTTCTATTTATGAAGGGTGGGAGAGAGATATCTTGTATTTATCGGGAACCAATCTTAGCCCTTAATTGAAGAAGAAAAGATCTCAACCATTAGCTCAAAGTTGTCATCATAATCTGTGAAACTTGGACTGTTGATGGCTTATTTGGTTGGCCTTTTTGGGATTGTGCCATGGTGCCAACAAGGGCAATCACTCGGTAAGAATTATGCTAGGAAGTAATACAATGTTAGGCCATTCTAAATATGTATGACTTCTTCAATTTGGTGGAGAGATGAAGCATTAAAAGCTTTAAAAAAATAGTCACTCGAGCAACTTTTCTAGTACAAAAGGAAAAAGATGATGAATAATAACTAAATGACAAGTCATTTAGCTTTCTCTATTTTTTTTTGTCTCTGCTGATCAAAACGAAGTTGTTTTGGTCAAAAAACAACGTTTTATTTAAACAAAACAGTGTCATTCTGACTACTTAGGGTTTTAATTTAGGATTTGACTAAAGGTCAACTTAGTTTTTTAGCTTTTGATTTATTTTAATCGCATCCCTGGGTAACTTCAAACTTTTAATTCTATACAATTTTACCTCACCAAACTTCAATATCAACCCTAAATTTCAGTATTTTTTTCATTTTGATCCTTGATTTTGGATTTATATAAATTAACCCTTAATTTTAAACTTTAATTTTCTTCAATTTCACCCTTGTTTTCTGATACGACCAAAAGATTAATGTCTTCTTTCAAGTGCAGGAGTGTTGAAGTAATAAATAACCCGGCAAGACCGGGGTTGAACCATAAGGAGGTTAATTGTATAAATTATAGATAACAATAATATAACAACA